GGAAATCCTCGAGAGGGTGCCAAGTTCGCCGGCCTGGCGGATGTGGTTAACCAATTCAGCACAAGTGGACGGGCTTGACAGAAAGTTCGTCTTGAGCAGATCAGACACGCATGCACCTCCTGTGGGGTTAGGTTTGTCAACCTTGGGACCAACAGATGACGTTGCAGAAGAACCCTTCGCCCGGGCAGATGACTCTCTCATCTTCTTAGCCTCTGCCAACCTCGCCTCCAAAGAAGTCCATGAGGCAGAATCAACTCCACGCTTGACTGCCCGTGTCTCAACAACTGAGCCATGAGCAGACCTCCCACTTCGATCTCCATCCTTTGACTGATGCAGACGACTCGAACTACGAAAAGGAATATCTGCATCTCTTCGACGCTCGGCAGAACGGGATCGAGCATGAACTACCTCACGAAGCAGATCATGATTTTTAAGCTTGTCAGTAGAAGGCTCGGATGATGATGGAACAGACCCCCACTTGAGTCTTCTCAGCAGAATTGGACTTTGGCTTCTTCCTCAATAGAGACACATCATTCGCACGCGAAGTCGCAACTCCATTTCTAGAAGACTTGACGACAGCCTTCCTTTGGGCAAATCATCAGAATCTAGACCATTCTGCTTCCATCTTTCAACATCTTGGGCAGGGGGCAGACCACCAACTTCCTCCTGATACTTGCCCAGCTGACCAGGGCCGCAACGCATGAGGCCAAGCATGCTTCAGCCCAAACCTGCGACGATAGGCAATAGCTGGTCCACCTGCGGGCACCTGCTCTACCACGTCTGCCACCCACTACCAACCGTCGCCTGTCACGACGACAACTAGCCGACCTTCCCCCAGCTAGCCTTCGCAGCAAAAAAGAAGAAAAGAAGAAGAAAAAGAAATATACGTGCTCGACTTACCTTTGGATGCACGGCGACTCCTCTCTTCGACAAGCAGTACAAATTCTCCAAGATCTCTCTCAAGCTAGAAAGTAGAGAAGTTAAGTTTGCGATGTGAAGAAGAGTGAAGAGAAGCCCTACATTTACACAGGTTGGGCATCCTAGGTCAAGAAGGAATCGCAAGCCCATTCCTATTGGGAACCCAACTCCAAAAACAGTCAAAAGCTCACTCCAATTGGGAACCCAATCTGCAAAAGGAGTCCAACTCACTGAAGGAAGCCCAGTTACAGCTGGACAGCCCAACAAATGATTTACATCTCCTATATGCCACCACGCGCCATGCAGAAGCTGGGGGGGATTTGTGGGAACCGAATTAATTCATAACCCTAGGTCAAATAATTCCTTCCATTTGGGGATAATTTGACCTAATTGGGAATTATTCAATTTAATTGGGGATTACCCAATTAAATAGAATGTTACCTAATTAGGTTGAGGATTGATTTGATTCCTACGAATATTCTCAATTAAATGAGGAGTTACCTAATTAAATTAGGTATTGATCTGATTACCACAATTAGGGATTTGATTTATATTCCTAATAAATCAAATCCCTAATTAGTCAAATGTCACCAAATTGGGGAGGAATAATTCCCTTCCATCTACGGAATTATTCCTCTGAAACCCTAGCTCCCGAGACCTCTATAAAAGGATGGCCACACACAAGGGTTGATGTACGTTTAAAATTACTACCAAATCTCTGCAGAAATTATTTCTCACAAACCCTAGCCACCTCCTTTCTCTCCCTCTTTTACATAAGGCTCTGGCCGCCCGGTTTACCCCATAAACACATATAACTCTGTACCCTAGTTAGCTAGTGTTTTCTTTACAAAACTCTAGAACTAATTTAGGCATCGGCGACGTCAGACATGGAAACTAAGGAGTTATTTGAACTTCAAACTTTGATGGCTTAAGAGAAGATAGAGTGTCCCCTCTTCTCTTCTCTGTTTCTTCCAAGTTTTCAAGCAAGAATGACAGTGATAAGAGGATTATTTCCTCATAAATTTGCTGCAATTGTAAAGTTCAGGTAAAGTTTTACTAATTGGGAGTTAATTTTACAAATTAATGCCAATATCATATATTACAAAAACTTAATCCAAAATTTATGTGTCACTGAAAGAGATGTTTCCATCAGTTAAATACAGATGATGTGTCTCTGCATGGACATCACGATCAGATAGCCACCATTTCCACAGGGACATACCAAGTGCAAGCTCAAGTGATTTGTCCATGGCAAAACAAGCATACCGTCATCGTGCTACATCAGTGGAATTGGATAAGTCATTTGTTGAAAAAATTTCTGTTTCTTTTCCACTTATACTTGCTTCAACCACATTTCTTCCTGTAAAAAATGCTGGCTTTGTAGGTAATGCAGATAGCATGCTTTCATTTGTTAACATGGATATGACATTCGACATGGTCGGCCGATCAGCTGCATTTTCTTCCACGCATAGCAGGCCAACATGGATGCATCTTAAGAATTGATCTTTAATACATGAATCACCTACTGTTGGATCCATTAGTTCTAGCACTGTGCCTTCCTTCCATAATTTCCATGCCTGAAACAAAGACTTAATTCAATTATACAGAATCACACACCTCAAATTAAGAAGAAAAATTTAGTCATCACAACTGTTAATTTTCTTGACATACATATCCTACTATATTGAGCAGGCGATCAGCATTGTAGAAGCTATTGTTTCTCCTATCACTTATGATTTCAAGCATTAACACCCCAAAACTATAAACATCAGACTTTATGGAAAATATGCCCTCCATGGCGTACTCAGGAGACATGTAACCACTGTATCAAATAGAACAGAAATTTAGTACGTCTTGGCATACAAAAATGCATGTTTAGCAAACTGAAAATTTTGAATGTCAAATTGTTTACTTACTATGTTCCAACAACCCTATTAGTATTTGCTTCCAGTTCATTATGCTTGAAAATCCTTGCCATACCAAAATCAGAAATTTTGGGGTTCATGTTTTCATCAAGTAGTATGTTACTAGCTTTTAAATCTCTATGAATTACTCTCACTCTTGAGTACTTGTGCAAGTAAAGCAATCCTTGAGCAATTCCTTCAATTATACTAAAGCGCTTCTTCCAATCTAGTAGCATGACTCTGGTTGAATCTGTCTAATATAGAGTGAAATTATAAGTTGATGATGATCTATATGTATTTTTGACAATTAAGTGACAAAATAAATCAAGTAATAAGATTAAAGTGAGTGCTTCCAACCGAATAGAAAGTAGTCCAAACTTTTGTTTGGCATATACTCGTATATTAGCATCCTCTCTTCACCACGAATGCAAAATCCAAAAAGTTTGACAAGGTTTTTATGTTGGAGTTCATATATGAGTATCAATTCATTCTTAAACTCCAGCGTTCCTTGCCCTGAACATTTTGAAAGCCTCTTCACAGCGATTTCTTGTCCCGTCAGCAATTTTCCCTGAATTGATGATGACCCACAATATCTCACTTGATGATCAGCTATTTATACTTAGCTATTAATAACAAAACACTTCTTATAATCTAAAGCCTTTACCTTATAAACAGACCCAAAACCTCCTTGTCCAAGCTTGTTTTCTGGGGAGAAGTTGCATGTGGCAGCCATGACAGATGCATAGCTAAACACGCTTAAATCATGTCGCATCATTCCATCATTTTGAAGCGCATTGGCATCAGTAGGTCTATCAGATTTCATTAAGTCAAGCAATTCATTCTCGATGATCTTTGTCTCGTTCTCCCCTATTTAGATTAAGGTAGCAAATTATATATATACTAAAACTGATTAGAAGTCTCACTGTTCCTAGACTGTTCATAGACTGTAGCTTAGGAATAGTAAATTGTCGATTTTGCCCTTTACTGAATTTTTCCTTATGTTCCCTTTTTGCCCCTTCCCATTTGCATCTCTTTCGATTCTAAGGTTTCGTTCGCTCAGAGCTTTCCAGTTCGTTTCGAACCAGTTGGTTGGGCTGATTGGGGGCAGCCATGGAAGATCAGAGTTCACTGTTCTGCATGC